GAAAGAATTATGGGCCTACAATCTCACGAGAAATCACCAGCAACGAGTACAGTACAGTAAATCTGTAACTCGCTATATAGCCTATAAGCGTCTAATTTCCACGTCGGTTTCGCTTTCTCAGGATACTGAATAGTGAATACGAAGCCGCTCATGCTGTCGGTGGAAGAAGAGGAGGTCGCACTACTTTTAGTTTTTTATGAATATAAATCGTTCACCACGAAATTAAACAACTCGGCTTCCGTAGCATAGTGGTAGTGCGTTCGCTTCGTAAGCGAAAGGTCGCGAGTTCGATCCTCGCCGGGAGCTTATTATTTGTGCCTAAACGTTAATTATTATTTTGCAAAATTAAGATTTTAGAGCAATTTATGGGAGCTTTTGATGTTTTGAAAGGGAGGCATACAGCAATAGTTTTTAGAGTGTACCAGTACCAGAATTTGACCCGATTTTTTTCCCAAAATTTTGGATTTGAATCAACTCGTTTGATAAACAGGTTAGATTTGTATTCAAATTTGTTTCCTAATTACAAATTTGGATTCGATTTGTGCCAATTTTGAATTAACCCGATCCCCCCCCCAAACCGATCTAGCACCCAACACGACCCAACCCCGCACTTGCACCATGACCTCGCCCCCCACTTGCCCCACGTCCCACACTTGAGCTCACCCCAAGCCCCCAGTACTCTTGTGCTCGCCTACCTTGCCCAAGCTCGCGCTCACAACCTTGCACAGTTATGGATTAGTGAGTCGGTTTGGGTTAATCTAAAAACCCGGCAGGCCAAGTCTAAGTCTAAAATTCTGACAGATTTAACTAATCAAGTCGAGCTCGGGCTGTTCCAGTTGAAAGTGGATCAATTTTGAATGGGACCTCAGCCCAACCAAAAAGCTCATTTTGAAACCCCTAATTTTTAGAAGTTTTCTTTTACTATAAAGATTTTTTCATTTAATATAGGGAAATGTGATTTCATGTGCAAAATGGAATAAATATGATAATTATTTCTTTATAATAATTAAAATTAAATTGATTAATACTTTTGTTGCGTCCTAGAATATTGAGAAATATATAGTTTAACGTCTTAGCATTGTACGAAGATCCAGCACACAATCAGATAAGTGAGAGGGTGTAGCGTTCATAAGAGACACCAGAGTTTTTACGTGGAAAACCCCTAAAAAGGAGGAAAAACCACGGGGCCTAGCCCAGTTTGAATGAATCCACTAATATTTGTAGTCGATTACAAATGAGGCCTTCTTAAGGAGAAGGCCTTGGCTTGATGTCACAAATGTACATCATATAGAGTGTATTACATGGTGGGAGTTACAATAGAGTGTATTACATGATGGAGGTCGGAAAGACCGTTGTCTGGTGATGGAGGTCGGAAGGACCATAGTAGGCGACGGAGGTCGGGAGGACTGTAGTCGGGAGGAGACCGAGGTCTGAGAGACCGAGGTCTGAAAGACCGTTGTAGTAGGGCGGTACTCTGGTAGAACTCTAGGCGTCAGGTAGTGGCCCAGCAGAAGTCCTAGCCTCAGGTGGTGTTTTGGTGGAGCACACGGCTTTTGATGATAATCTGGCGAAGATAAGGGCCTCTGGCAAAGGTGAGGGCCTCTGGCAAAGGTGAGGGCATCTGGCGAAGGTTAGGGCCTCTAACGAGGGTGAGTGGCTCTGGAGAAGGTGAGGGCCTCAGATGAAGACGTTAGGCCTGAACGTCGGGCCTTGAGCAGAACGTTGGGCCTTCAGCAGAACATCGGGCCTGAACGTCGGGCCTTGAGATGGTGGTGCGGCGAAACTCCGGCGGTAGTCCGGTGAGGCTCCGGCGGTGGTCCGACGAGGTTCCTGCGGTGGTCCGGCGAGGTTCCTGCGGTGGTCCGGCGAGGTTCCTGCGGTGGTCCGGCGAGGAGAGGGCCTCAGGTGTTGGTGAGGGCCTTTGACGAATGTGAAGGCCTCATGCGAAGGTGAGGGCCTCAGGCGGTGGTCCGGCGAGGCTCCGGCGAAGTTCCGCGGTGGTCCGACGATGCTCAGGTGGTGTTTCGGCGAAGTTCCAGCGGTGGTCGAGGAGGAGCGTCTTCCTTCTCTTCTCATCTTCTCTTCTTGCTTGGACCCCCCCTTGTGAAGAATGAGGGCTCTATTTATAGATTTTCTGGAGTGGCATAGCTCGTAAATAGGCGTGAGATCAGGGGCGAATAGGGAGTGGTCTAATGGACGGCCGATATTGAATCCTACGATCGTTTACCGTTCGTTGGACATTTGAAGGTCTTAATGATGTTGGAATTCTGTGATCTTGGGTTCGTTGGATTCGTCTCGTCGATCCATTTAATTCGAGTATTAGCTCGTTAAAATCCGAGACCGTTTGGTAACTCAAATTGTGGTTTGAATCTTCCAACAGCGCTTCGGATCCATGATTTGGACCCATTTGGGCTCGGATTGGGTCGAATTTGGTGTCGTTGGGTTCGTATTTCCGAGATGCTCAGTTTGAATGTAAGTTTACTGAAATCGGAGTTGAGATGGTCTCCGGATTAATTTTAGAAGTTTCCAACTCAATTTTGCATTGAGATTCGTGCCCGATCAAGGTAATTTCATGATGACGCATCAACTTTTAGTATTAAGATTTTATGTGATTAAAATATGATTCATATTTGAATAATATTTGAACTAAAATAATTACTTTTATTTAATTTTTGTAGTGTTTAAAATATTTGAATAAGATTATTACATATTGGATCAACAGTAAGGACTTTCTTATTTTCTTTTTCCTCCTCCCTCATGATCTATATATTCTATGTCAAGGGATTCATTTCATGACTCCTACCACTAATATGTACATACAATGATAAGATGTTGGTCCCCTAACTCATCCACATCCTTCTCAAATCCATGTTTTCCTACACCACCTTATCAAATGTTATATCAATAGCAAGCACCTTCTCTTTTTCTCCCCCTTTCTCCCACCTCCCTCCTCTCTTCTCCCTAGGTGTGCTCTATCTAAAAAAGTCTATATACAATATCAATTTTGTTGCATGTTGAAAGATAATACAGAAATATACATGACAAATTTGTAGTTTGTGCAATGTTAACTACTGTGTAGGCAAGAGTAGCACTTTTTAATGATGTGCTGTGAATGTTGAAGGGCTAGTATGTCAAAAAAGACCAGAGGCCTTCAAAAGAAGAAATTATTGACTATCACATGCTCTAGCGATCAATGAGATGAAAGAAGAAGAAGAATATTATTAATATAGAAGTAAAAAATACTTGGATGAGCAAATATATTTGTATTTTTATCGTCTAGACTAGTGGATTTTTATCTCTTTGTATATTTATGGAGGTAGGTGAATATCATTTAACTATGTTTACTCCAAATTTACTCTGAATCTTCTTCATATTTACTGAACATGTTATCCTAAAAAAATTTTAAATATGCCCTCATTCTTCACATGAGGGAGGGAGGGGAGAGGAGTCACTAAAACTAGAGGGCTCTCTCTCATTCTCCAACTAGCGCTACCGCCGCTTGATATCATCCTAATCACCGACCATCATCAGACTTATGCATGTGCATTGACTGATCTCCTTTTTGGCGTTGGCGCTACAAGCGAACCCTTGCCACTAGGCCACCACTGCTGGACCTCCACCCGACCATCACCCTTGGGATCACCGTTTGACAGTCACCAATGATCCATTATACCTCCATCGTCAACCAATCACAGTCCCTCTGACAACCGTTGCCCGACTACAGTCCTTCCAACTTCCGTCGCGCACCGACCACATTCCCTGACTACGGTCTTCAGACGACCATCGCTCAACTATGATCCTTCCGACCTTCGTCAAACGTAGATTACAGTCCCTCTAACCACCGTTATCCAACTATGATCCTTCCGACTTTTGTCGCCTAAATACAGTCTTATCGACTAAACAAACAGGCCAACACTCTCTTGAGAACAACTCTTATGACATTGAATTCTTCCTATTTCAAAAAAGCAATGCATTTTTGTTATAATGAACCAACATTCCCCTGAGGAATGACATCATTTTTAATCAACCAACAACACTAGTTAAATCATTTCACTTGATTTTTTTTTTTTAATGTTTTTAGAAAGTCTTGGTGGCCAACTCTAATTGATTTTCTAATCTTCTTCAATTCATTAGAGTTGATCTAGTATCTTTATTTTTAGTTTATATATATAACTTTACCTTTTTATGTTGATTTGACATCTCCAAAACTACCTCTATGATTAGTAGTTACTTTCAAATTCCCTCTTCATTAATCAAAGAAAAATCCTTCCTTCGTAACCGACACCAACACCCTCTCAAATCAGCATAAATATGTCCCTTACTTTACAACCACCCTCCAGACTGGCACCCTCTCACATTCTAAAGAAGCCTCAGCCAAGCCTTCAACACATCCCATAGTCCACAGTCAATCCCACAAGCTCCACCCTCTCGGACTAGAGATTATTACGTGCAAAATTCAGATCGGAGAATTATCCATTTTTTTATGAGTATGCGATAAAAGCACAGTAAAAAATTAGTTATTATTCATCAGTGTATTTTTTTTGTACTTTTACTGTATACATTCACAAAAATCGAATGCAACTTCAATCCGGACTTCACACGTAATAATCTCTTCTCTCTGCTAGGGCTTAGATCCTATTTCCCACAGAATTATCCATTTTTTTTATGAGTATGCGATAAAAGCACAGTAAAAAATTAGTTATTATTCATCAGTGTATTTTTTTTGTACTTTTACTGTATACATTCACAAAAATCGAATGCAACTTCAATCCGGACTTCACACGTAATAATCTCTTCTCTCTGCTAGGGCTTAGATCCTATTTCCCACAGGCTATTGAAAAATTATTACGTGCGGAATATAGACGAAAAATTATATCCGGATTTCGCACGTAATAATCTCTCAGGGGTATCATGCCGAATAAGATATGTGCAATAAATTTTATAGAAAAACATGGCGAAAACCAAACAGGAAATGCACTCCATAGGCGTTTATGCTTGAATAAATGTAATGCCCATAAGATAATCCATGTTTCTTAAGTTAAATCTTCAGAAAAACAAGTTTGTGACATGAATATACAAATAAAATATGAAATGGACATCAAATAATTCAACTTCATGGGAAAAGGATAATCAATACAATGATAATCTAATGTCCTCGAGGGCCTAATTTATACAAGGAATGCTTGCATAACCCTTGAATAAGGTTCTCATGCAAGGAGAGATCAGACGGTGAGGCCATCGAACAATGAATCAAACTCTGGGGTTAAGGATCACTGGATGCATAAATGACAACTCATCACTCAACATGAATAAATATTTCTAACATATGGCTTATCCTCAAGCCCAAGCACTTTCAGAAGCACTTTCACACCTTCTCGCTGCAACTGTAATTCCAAGCTCCCATGTCATTATGAGGGAAAAAAGCCAACTCAGTAACTTCTCGTTATGGAAGAATTCTTCTTCCAGTTGAGTACACTTCACCATCTAGATCTTACAGAAAAGAAAGAGATCATTGAAGCGTGTTTGTTAAAAAGACATGGAAGAGGAGTATCACCAGAAAAAGCTCTTATTTGCCCACTGTCAATTGAAGCTTTCCCATGCCAATCTTCAAATTTTCTACACGAACTTGTTCGGATCCGGCCTTTGTGTTTGGATCTCCATTGTCAAGCCAGGGGTGTTGCAGGCATTGCCCTGCAGTTGGCCGCTTTTCTGGAGCAAAATCAAGAAGTGGCTGAAGGAAATCAGAAAACTCTCGTGCGTCGGTCTCAGAGAACTTGTATTTGTCAACTAAAAGCCTATCAATAGGCCAGAACTTTAATCTACGGATCCTCTTCAAGTCTCCATATCTATCGAAGTAGTCCTTCGATCGAGATCCAGTAATAGCAACCTGTTATCACAAGTGAGGCAGTGTCAGTCATCGGTGATGAATCCCAGGATAAGTTTGGAGGAACTACTCACCTTACGAGGCATCTTTCCAAGAAGTTCCATCATTAAAGCCAAGTGGTCCTGCAAATTTAGATCAATAAGCTTTGAGAGGGAAGAAGAGATGTAATGTGTGTAGCAGACGATAGAAGGGGTACTTTCTATTTCTCTTTCATTCCAATATAGCTTAGATTAGGTAACAAAAAAGCTGATCTATGGATTCTGAGCAATCATTATGGATATTAAAGTCAAAAGTCACAATATTTTTTCCAAATGCCTTTAAAAAGCTTCAAAATAGATGCCAATGAAGAGATAAACATTTAGTATACAAGTGAAACAATTAGGGGCTGCTTGGTTACAAGTATTTAGAATTCATGTATATTTTTAATGCAAATGCATTTGAAATTTTTATGATTGTTTGACTCGTAAACTAAATGCAAGAGATCATTATTTTGCGTTTTGTTAGATGAAAATGAAATACATTACTCTAAGGTAAAGATAGTGGCTTAGTGACAACATGGATGAGGGGGGCAAGGACGATGAAGCAGATGTCAAGGGAAATAAGATTGGGGTTGTCAACGACATATGGGGTTGATCAGTGAGGTTGTGGATGACACTCCATGGCAAGAATGGCTAGGTCACAACTTGCGACTCGTGCAAAGATAGCAATAAATCATGAGCTCACATCATATGTGGTTTAGCATTAGCAGCGGGCTAGCGTCAAATGCAAGGACGACTATGCGTCATGCAACATCATTGCATGCAGGGACTGGGTTTTGAGCTCATGTCATATGTGTCAATGGCTAAGGTTGCGACCTTGAATCTTAGGACTCACCGCAGTCGAGCAAATTCCAAATTCCTCAAAAAATGAATTCTAAGGTGTATTTCAAAATCCTCAAAAAATTACTTGCTTATTTTTCACCAAACTAATAGCCGAAAATATAAAATCACTACATTTCAAATGCAACAACCTCCAAATATACTCAACCAAACAATCCCTTAATGTACAAGTGATTACAAATAATAAACTTATCACACTAAGTATGGTGCCTAGGATAAAAGAATCATGGATGTAAAAGCTACAATTCTTCAAGTGATATAATCTGATTGATAGAAAACAAAATGAATGGCATATCTTTACTATTTGAACTATCATCCATCTAAAGGTGTCCTTTAAACAATAAATTTTCATATCATTTTCTAGTCAATTAGTTTATATTTTTGGTCCTTATTTATCCTTTCATCAATTTTAAAAGTTATTTAATTTTAGCAGAGATTAAAAATTTTATGAATATAGCTACTATTATAAATGGTAGGCATTTAATTAGTATTATGATAGGATTTTGTTGTTGTTGTTGTTGTTGATGATCTTTATTTGTCCTTTAATCAATTGTAAAGGTATTAAGCTATTTATCAATTTAAATATGTTTGCAATTATTTTAAATTTAGCAATACTAAAAAGTTCATGAATAGCTACTATTATAAATAGTAGGTCGTTAATTGGTTGTATATAGTGATAAAAAATGAGGGTTGATTTCTTTCTTCTCCAAATAATAAAGTTTCTTCATGCCATCAACTTTTTACGTTCTATCTCCCTTGTTTTGAGAAATTTATTCTTTTCATATTCACATTTTTCTCTATCTTTATCTCTCTAGTTCACTTTCTACAATGGTTTCTTTCCTTCTCAAGGATGAAGATATTAAATATTATCCATAATCTCTGCTACAATCGCCCCACTAGCCATCAATTAGTATCAGAGCAAAATTATTGAACACAAAGAGTTCTTTATAAAGAAATCTATATTAAAAGAATTTACAATCATGAAATCACCTTACTACACTTCACATAATCGAAATTTTTTAAGCATTCAACCTCCTCCATACAGCTTACACACATTATCGATTTCAACATTTGTTTTACTATATAGAGCAATATAAAACAACAAGAAAATGTTCACTTCAAACTTGAGACTCTTTCCAATAGTGTGACACATTTTGCATCAAACATGATAGCAATCACAATTCTCACTTTCCACCTCCTTTGCATACTTCCCCACAATTGCCCCATCCTCAAACTTATCTATATATTATCTATTAAAATCCGGAAAGAGAGAGAATATCTCATTTAAAACTTTTTGAACCTATAAGCAAGGTGAGAGAGTTCCACTTCAAAATGGGACCTTCCTAATTTTGAATTTTCATAAATGTAAAGACTGCAATGAAAAACATGACATCATTGATTTGATATTTATATCATTTATAATAAATTATTAAGCATGAAATGATATGAAGGCTAGATCTAGTAAGAAACAATCAGATCAACTATAGGCTTTGAGCATTGTTGCGGGCTAGAGTATACGCGGCGAGAGAGTTAAAATCCTACGTCTTAGCGTTGTACGGATATTCAGCTCACACATAGAGAACACAAAGTTTTTTACATGGAAAGTCCTGGAAAGGGGAAAAACCATGGGGTCTGGCCTAGTTGAAAATGATTCAACTAGAATTCGAGTAGATTAAAGTGGGCTGACTTGTCCTTGAGGGCAATCGGATTACAAATGTCAACCGTATGATTGAAATCTAGTGACAAACAGGGATGAAAGTCCGGCGTCACTTGGTGGTCTGGCAGAAGATCGGCGTGACTTGAAAATTCGGGTGTTAATTGGTAGTCCGGCGAAACTCTGTGGTCACTCGGTGGTTCAGCGGAACTCCGGGCGTCAGGTTGTGGTCCGACATAATTTTGGGCCTCAGGTGGTGGTCTGGCAGAACTTTGGGCCTCAGGTGGTGTTCTGGCAGAATTTAGGGCCTCAGGTGGTGGTTGGCAGAAGTCAGGGCCTCAGGTGGTGGTCCAACCAACAGAACTTCGGGCCTCAGGTGGTGATCCGGTAGAAGTCCGGGTCTCAGGTGGTGGTCCGATAGAAGTCCAGGCCCCAGGTGGTGGTCCGGTAGAACTCCGAGCCTCAAGTGGTGGTTCGGCAGAAGTTAGGGCCTCAGGTGGTGATCCAACAGATGTCTGGGCCTCAGGTGGTGGTCCAGCAGAACTGCGGGCCTCAAGTGTTGGTCCGGCAAAATTTAGGGCCTCAGGTGGTTGTCCAGCAGAACTTCGGGCCTCAGGTGGTTGTCCAGCAGAACTTCGGGCCTCAGGTGGTGGTCCGGTGGAACTTAGGGTCTCAAGCAGTGGTCCGGCAAAACTCAGGATCTCAGGTGATTGTTTGGCGGAGCTCAGGGCCTCAGGGGGTGGTCGGGCGGAGCTCAGGGCCTTAGGCGGTGGTCCGACGAAGCTCCGACGGTGGTCGAGTAGGCAAGGAGGCAAGAGCGATCTCTGATCTCTCTCTTTTCTCCTTAGGCTTAGGGTTCCTTTTCAAGAGAAAGGAGTGGTCGATTTATAGATTTTCTAAAGTGTCATGGACCGTAAATAGGAGTAGGATCAAGGGCAAATTGGGAGTGGTTTGAATGGACGACCGATGTTGAATACCTTGATCGTGGACCGTTCTCTAGACATTTGAAGGTCTTAATGATTTCGGAACTCTGTGATATTGGGCTCGTTGGATTCGTCTCGTCAAGCCGCTCAATTCGACTATAAGCATATCATGTTTGTAAACCGTTTAGTAATCCAAATTGTGGTTTGAACCTTTTAAAAGCGCATCAAGTCCTCAATTCAGACCCATTTGGGCTCGGATTGAGTCGAAGACTCGAAGTTAGTGTCGTTGGGTTTGTATTTCCGAGACGTTCAGTTCGATTATAAGTTTGCTGAAATCGGAATTCGGATGGTCCCAATTTTAATTTCGGAAGTTTCCAGCTTGATTTTTTCTCGAGATTCGTGCCCGATCAAGATAATTTTTCGAGGATATATCAAGCATTAAAAATCATTTAAAGCTTTAACAATTTGATTTCTCTATAAAAATTACAAATATCGGTAATTTTCATATCACATTGTTTACATCAAGCAGGATATCACCAGGAGTCCCTAGGCACAATCGGATGGTCAATCCAACACCACATGAGAAAGAATAAACTCTGAAAGCTAAACTTTTGGATTAAACTTCATATTACAACACGATAAGGGTGGATTTGATAAATTGCTTGGATATGCTTGGCTTTGAATTTGTAATTAAGGATTAAAATAATATCAACTGAAATTAAAATAAGCAGGCTAATTCATATTCCTCCTCTTACCATGACTAACAAAAACACATTTGGAGAGAATGGAATATAAGAATATGACAATTGTATACTCGAACATGTCAGTGTAGGTATTTCATGAGTACTTAGCAAGTTTCAGTAAAAAAAGAAGTTAGTCAAAACAGTCAAATCGCCCACACCTAAAGCACTCGCTAGCAAGGAATGTGACTTGTTCAAATCAGCCAAATTGAGGAACTGTCCCCGGCATGCACATCAATGAACTCATAGATTCTTCCAACACAAGAGGGAAACTCATCTTGATAGAGATCAACCTCCTAAGGCCACTCTGATGGGGGCATCATATCGTGGAAGGTATATCAAAGACGTGACCGTCGATATGCGGCCACGATTGAGTCATTGTATTTTTGAGTTGTTTTATATATTTTCTTATTTATGATGTCATATTGTATTTTCTTTACTAGTTTCCCGCTGTACCCTTTTATTAAGGGAGGTCGTATTAAGCCCTAGGGGTATTGTTGTCCTTTTATTTTGTGAGTCTTTGTACGAGGCTATTTATAGCCCCATTATTCTTCTTTTCAAGTTAATGAATGATTATTTGAAAACTTTGCTTCTCTTTGTTTGCACTCTCATGAGAGCTTGAGAGATTGGAGTGAGATCCTTAGGAGAGGGAGAATTGTGCATCACCCACCAACCTAGACGAGTTGGATTCGTGGTTCTATCTTATTTCTCTTTCCTTCCTCCTTAATTCCCCCTACCTCCACTAGCCTTACCTCCCCTCCATCATCTTTGTCCAAACTTTCACCACCACCAAACCCCTTCTCCACCCCCACCGAACTCTCCAAGCCACCTCCACCTCATCGCCAGCTCCCTTACCCGAACCCCAAGCAAGCCGCTGTCCCCTAGCTCCTTGTCCTCTCTTGGTATTATTTCCTATTCTAGATTGTC